CTGCTGCTGCCACGCTCAATGTCTATGCTCTTGCTTTTGCTCGCTCTCACTCGCTCGCTCGCTCGCTCGCAGCTGCTAGGCACTCCCCCCCCTTGTCTTCTCCTCCTCGCCTGCTGTCGCACTCCCTCCCTCCCTCCTTCCTTTGCCCACCTTGGCTGTTCCCATTCTGCTTCCTCCCTCCCGGCTCCGCTTTGTGCTCAGTGAACATTCACACGTGTGCGCTCATCACGCCATGACTGCAGGCTGCCAACTAAAGGGGGGGGGGCTTGGGCATCCTGGGACAAGATCTAGAATTGCCTCCAGCACAACGCGTGTGAGAGACCACAAACCGAACGGAGGGGTTCACACTGGCTCCCTCCCCAAGATTTGGGCAACTTAACGTTTTTGGATTAGTATTCCTGACTGGGTAAGTTTTGGAGGTGTGTTTTTTGTTTGTTTAATTGCTTTCCCTATTTCTGTTTCATGCAAGTGTACTTAGTGGCTGTTTGGATCAGAACAGGCACATTCACATACTCAGCACATGGAGGTTCCCACCTCCCACGCAGTGCCTTGAGGGAGCAGTTCTTAAACTGTTTTATGTGCCATGGACCACTTCAAAATTGCTGGGAGTCTCAGAAGACCACTTATTTGTTGTATAAATCGAAGTGCATCCACAATTCATCTTTTACTACTGTGCCTTTTCTTCAGTGCCAGGATAATCTTCAGAATCACTGCTGAATTGTGAAAATTGCAAAGCTGAAGCCAACTTGCTGAGAAAGACCCTTTACACTCAGGTGTTGGGTTTTTTTTTTTAATAATTGAAGATTTAGTAAGTATCACCAGCACCATTAAGAAAATCACAAGCCCAAGGCCATATTGTTATTAATCTGTTTGGTACTCTATCTATGATTCAAAACAGTTTCAGTCTCTAACATCAGGAAAAACCAATCAGTCAATGAGTAACTGTAGGCATGGACACCACAGACCACAGTTTGACCATGTCCTGTTTTGGAACCATTTATATGCAAGTCTGAAGAACTGATTCACACAGGCATGCTTGCTGCTTTGCAGTAGCGCCTTTAGTGGCACGATCTTCAGCCTATTTGCTTGGCCATTAAGTCCTCAGGTTTTATTGGAACTTACCAATAGGTGTGTTTAGTTAGGACTTCAACATTTGCAGCCATTTGCCAGAGTCAACTAGCTGTCAAATAATACCAGCAAGGTGCTCATAATTTCCTCATTACTAGTCAGGGATTGTTGTTCTTGGGTGCCATCTAGTTACTTTCAATTTATGGTGACACTAATAGGTTTTTGGGGATATGTAAGATGCTCCTGGCATGGCTTATCATTACACCTGAGTGCATTTTTCTATCACTGAACTGGGATCTGAACCCAGTCTTTCTGAGTCCTAGCCCAGTCCTCTATATCTGCTGCACCACATTGGTTCTTCAGTAACTGCTAGCATGTGTGAGTGGGCCATGGCCACAGAACTGCCAGTGAAAGCTTTGGAATATTTGGAATATTTTCAGCAGTCAGGTGTTGACATCATGCCACACAGCAGCCTTACTCATGTGTGGTGCAATCCTTAGTACAGTTGCTCAGAACTCAACATTGGTCGAAATCCTGGCGTGCGGTTATGCAAAAGGTATTACTTTTTGTGGTGAATTGTTGCAAGTTAAGAAATCTCCATAGGCATTATCAGTTGCACAATGAGTTGTGCCACTCAGCATCCAACAGAAAATGCTCACTTTGCCTCTAAAAGTTACAACTTTAGCATAACTGTCCAACAGGATTTCAGCCATTCTGTTAAATGAGGGTTACCCAAGCATTGTACTTAGAATTCCACCCTTAAAGGTGGTTCTACAGATTACCATACATTCTGAACATTTCCCTTGGGCTACAGTCCAATTATTTTCTGCTAGGATCAGCTGACAAAATATGTCAGCCTGTGGTGCCTGTTTATTGCTCAAAAACCATATCACCTGTGGTAATATGCATGCAGAACCT